GCATCTAGACTGCGATATGCATTTACCGCCATCTCTCGTGTACACACACCGCAGCATCAATCAGAGCCGCTTTGAGCCATCCGGAAAACTACTTTTAATGTTCTTTGTAAGTTTGCACCTCAGTCATATTTAAAGGGTAATTACAATCACCATTTATTAATTTTTTTTTTTAATACCGCAACTGTTGCGTTTTCGCTAGACTTAAAAAGTACACGATTGTTTTGACAGATCTGAGATTTAAAAATGGCACTACCAGAAATGCTTCAGGACCAGACATACGCAGTAGCGTTCCATCGCCTTTGCTATTGTTTACATCTTTGAAATGGTCTGTACTGAACCTTGTCTTTTCATTTCTACTCCGAGTGAGTTGACGCAGACACCAAGATTCTTATGTTTTAAAATGAAAACTAATTCAGGTGATTTTTTTTTTTCCAGGTGCTTGTGGTTCATGCTCGAGGTGTTGATGACAAAGAATGAGAATAACAGTCACTCGTTCCTGAGGAAGATGGTAGAGAACATCAAACAAACAAAAGATGTTCAGGCCCCAGACGACCCAAAGGCAAACGAGGTTCGTCTCCATCAAAGCTGGGTAGATTACTTACAGATTGTAGTCTGTTACTGATTACAGATTACATGATGAAAACTGTAGTTAATAGCATAATCTAGGTTACTCATGTTAGGTAATGTATTCTGACTACTTTTTTTTATCACTTGTTATTTAACATCAATAAACACGAAAACAAAATTACACGCCGAACGTCTGCCAGGTTTTAAGTATTTTTATCACTGGATATGATGATATGATGGCGACAGTGTTTAACAGCTATACATCACCATGTTTATTATCTTGCATCATTATTTGTTTCAAACATGGTCTAATTGCTAGAGAGGAGCTATTTTCCCTCAAATTCAGGAGGATGGTTTGCACATTTATTTACATGACATTTGTGAATATAGTCAACGCTAAATTGTGTGACACAAAAGGATTTTTAGAAATTAAGGTTTAAAGAAAAGAAATGGGGAGAATCAATAAATTATGAATGATTTACTTGCCATTGTGTGAATAATATGCAATCATGTAATCCATAAAAAGTAACTAATCTGATTATGAGCTTTTTCAAATGTAATAATGCAAGTACTTAATGTTTGGAAACTGAGTACACAATCCAGATTAGTTACTACCCAGCACTGGTCACCATTAACCTGTTATGCATATTGTTTATGTATTTGTGAATTCCAGTGTGCTTTACTCTATTTTCATGTGTTTACAGAAACTTTACATTGTGTGTGATGTGGCATTATTTGTGATCGCGAACAAGAGCACTTCATGTCATCTGGACTCCCCGAAAGATCCTGTGCTGCCTAGCAATTTCTTTACACCACCTGATAAGGTAACAACCACTCTGACTGTCCGCAGTGACACTTTTCATGTGACCTTACTATCAAACTCATTCTGTCTGTCCCTCTCTACAGGATTTTATCAATGATAAGGAATATCTGTCACCAGAAGCTAAATTAGTTCTGCAGACAGGGAAAATCCAGGTAGGTTTTGTCACCTCTGCGACTTTACGTGAATAATATCCTGATTAATTTCAAGAAATGATGAGTACAGTTTAGCTGCTATATATTTTCTGCAATTAAATGATTGTACAGTTTGTAGTAGAAGGCCAGTTCCAAATTAAATAAAAAAATGCAATATATAAAACAAAGAAATAGGGTCAGTAAGAACATAATTTCTTTGTAATCTTTTATAACAATATAAAGGCCCTTACTGTCACTTTTGATCAATTTAATGTGAATAGAGCTGTATACAGTATATATATATATATATAACACTGATAATCAGAAATGTTTCTTGAGCAGCATTATACTGATTTCTGAAGATCATGTGACACTAAAGACTGGAGTAATGATGCTGAAAATACAGCTTTGATCACAGAAATAAATTACAGTTTAAAATATTACAATTTAAAATAATTTATATTTTAATGTAATTCAGAATATGACTCTTTACTGTATTATTGATCAAATAAATGCAGCCTTGGTGAGCAGACTTTCAAAAACATTTTTTAAAAATCTTACCCACTTTGAACAGTGGTGTTATAATTTACAGAATTAGTGATTGCAATTTTTTTATGACATTAAAAGTTTAGAACATGAATTTATAATCTCCAAATAAATATATTTTAGGTTCAGCACACAAAAAAAGTTGAGTGTGTTCAATGTCAAAGTGTTGGAAGTTATATTGCACGCAGGAATCGATGACATATCAATATTTTTTTGTTGGAAATATACATCACACATACTTATTAATATATTTCAGCAACCACCAAAGCAGACAGGCGTGCTGGGGGCAGTGAACAAACCTTTAACGGTAACAGTTCGCCGACCGTACATTAAAACCACCACCTCTGACACTGGAAGCAATGCAAGCACCAACTCCCAACCCAACTCGCCTGCGACAAATAAGAGCAGGTTAGTGCTTTTCAGAATTTCTTTACTTTTCTTTCACTGATGTGGACTTTATCCAGTGTTCCACACAAATTGACTTATTTTTGTAATCGTCATAATGGATTTAGTTTTGTCATAAAGCATTGTTGCAGCCCTAATTTGGTCCTTTTTTTTTCATAAAGGGATGTGAGTTCTGAGGCCTCAGAGACGGGGGCGAGAGAGAACGAAGAGAATCCAGTCATCACAAAAGCAGGAGGTGTAAAGAAGGTCAGATATATCTCATGTGAACATAGGGCAGGGCGATAATTCGATAACGATAATTATCGCGATATAATTTTCCTTGATAAAACGGTATGAAGAGTTCGATATGTTTATGCGCCAAAAGCAGAACGAAACCGCGCGACTCATTTGAATCGCACCACACGGACCGTTTATCCACTCGGATCAAAGTTCAAACTGCGCGGCGCGAGCAGATGTGTTTACTCGGTCACGCGAGCATTAAGCAGCGCTGGGAGATCCAGTGCTTGAATTCAGCGGTGAACACAAACGACTCAGTGATTTAAACTAGTTTAAAGCAAAACAGGAGAAACACTGTGTGC